AATGTATTCTTAAAGTTGACGTGGGCCTTGCTTAAAAAAAACGTGTGGCAAGCAGGTCCATTTTGGTTTCCATTTTACTCCAAAAATTTTGGGTTACATTGAAAACGAGAGCTGTAAAAATACTCCTAGAGGTGAGTACATTAAATAAGTGCACACTTCAAATGCCAATTCAAGGTGGCCGAGCGAGAGAAACGAACGTTATTTATAAAAGTATTAATGCTTGTACGTAACTTAAATTTGTTTGACAAAACGCTGTAAGTCGTGTAATGATGCAATAGTTTATAGTAATAATAGTTGTATGTAAAGAGGTCAATAGTGTCGTTTTAATCGCCGATAAAATAAGATGATACATAAAAAATAATAAAATAAAATATTTTACTAAATAAATTAAGAAGTATTAATTAGACTTTATTGGTTTGTTTTAAAAGTTGTATTATATGTAATATATTATAGTACGCTATTCATTTTAGCATAAGATTTTACGTAAACATGAACAATGTTTTCCGTAAATTTTCGACCTCACTAGTAAGTAGGTACATACACAAACGTCAGTTATATTACAAAAACATCTTCTGCTTTATCTTTATAGTTTACGCGATATATGTAGATATATTATATAAACTATAAACATAAACCCTATGGAGTGTAGAGGTAAGGAGTAGACTCTATAAAACAGTGTCCGTAGGAAAGCGTTAAATTAGTGTCGCGGAAAGCGTTAAATTAGTGTCGCGCCACTGTAGCTACAGTCTAAATTTTAAAGAACTTTTTATAATTTTTTTGTTGCACAGACTTTGATCATAATTCTTTTCACAATAATTATTTTATTGCTTTCAAAATTTTTATTTTCAAAATCACTCTCAACATATTTTACGGCGATTTATAGATATACATACCCTGCTACTCGAGCGCTGTTGTGGAGAGTTTTTGAACTGTTACTTACTGACTACAGATGAACACATTTTCAACTATTCTCCTATGGGAGATTGTCCTCCTTACCTCTACACTCCATGATAAACCAGAATTATGTAAGGCCCGGTTTACAATTTGAGAAGTGACAAATGGCAGTGGCAAGTGTAGCCACTGACTTAAAAGTATAGAAATACGCACCTGTCATTTGTCAGCTGCACTTGCCACTGGCATTTGTCACTTCTCAAAATGTAAGCCAGGCCTTACATTCATTTATACATTTAAAACTAAACCCAAGTTTACCGCTGCAAGACTTCAAGACACAGTAAGTTCATTCTGCGTAGATCGGACCATAAACAATAATTAAAAAGATGAAGGGACATCCTCAACACTACAGATAATGTCTTCATACGGGATTCTTCGCGGTGTAATTGCATAATTAAAACTTCTTCCTAAAACTTTTATTGTGGCGTCGTCCAGAGTTTGTTTTGACAGGTTACAGACAACGCCTTGTTTATTTTTCGTGTCTATGGTCAATGATGTTGTTTCGTTCTTACGTTGCCATTGATGTTGGACATTTGATTTAGTTGTTAATTTTTGGGATTTATTAATATGTTTATTTTTGCATTCATTGTAATTAGTTGTTTCGCGTTTATCTAAAGTTTCCATGCAATTTTTATAATCAAATGTCGATAAAACTTTCTTTAATCCACTGGACGAATTGTTTATGGTTTTGTTTATGAAACATAGATCGGTACATTTTTTGCTGAATCACCGTTATTAACAATTTTTTACTAGTCTGATTTAAGATCTTAGCGCTTCCCCAAATGTCTTTTTTGGTAGATATCTTGACACACGTAGGAATGAGATTATGATCTCTGCATCTCTTCAAGAAATTTAAAGCTGTTATGTATCTTGCGCGTTTGGTCTTTAGATCTTCTAATCGGAATAAGTATTTTATTGGCTATTTCCAGTCCGTACTGGTTTACATAATGATTTGTTATATTTACGCGAACACTATACATTGATTCAAACTACTTTTACGGATTTTATCGCGTTTAGTTATGTTATTTTTAATAACCGACGTTTCGGGTGCTTTCCAGCACCCATGGCCATCTAGGATATGATCGCAAACTGCAGACTTCCCGGAACGTTGATGCTTCACGTCAGCTATGTGTTCTTTTACGCGGGTTCTAATTGATCTCTTTGTTTGCCCTATATATGAGAGATCACAATCACAATCAAGCTTGTACACTCCTGCATCTTGTAGAGGAATATGACACTTGACGGATGGTAAGAACTGACCAATCTTCTTCGTCGGCTTGTAGAATGTTCTAATAGAAGCTTGCTTCAAGATGTAGCCAATCTTGTCTGTGACACCTCCTCTGACATATGGTAGTACAGCACTCGCACTTGTCACTTCTCAAAATGCAAACCGGGCCTTATTGCTTTCCTGACATTTTTTCGCCTCCCTGTGCGTCTGTTCATTATACCAAAAAGCGAGACAAAATATGTGAATAGACGAGATTTTAAGTCTTTTTATTATAAAACATAAATACACACAACTGTCACCCAGAAGGGTAAGCAGAGACTACAGACTTCCATTTAGCACGATCTTGCCGCATCTCTCTCGCCTCCTACACATCCATATAGCTACGCATACATGCTCGTCGGGTACTCTTAATTTGACCCATTTTCAATATATCGCCAATTTGGTCGACAAACTAACACGTTAAAGTAGGGGCCAACACAGCATTTTGAATTGCCATACGTGACTTTATTGACACATTCTGACTTTCCACAATAGAGTGTAGAGCCCCATTTACTCTATTTCCTGCGTTCACTCGTCGTTCTATATGTTTATCATATCTCCCATCCCTGTTAAATACGCATCCCAAATATATAAACTCATCTAATTGCTCGACCAACTCTTTTTATTATGTACTATATTTTATTATTTATATATTATGTAACACAACCATATAAACTTTTGCGCTTGTATACATGTAATAATGTCCTCCAGACCGAATTTCGATCACGACGGCCAGTCTCAACGGAGATTAGCCATCGGCGCAGCACAGGATTATAGTGCCCAAGTGTATGCGCAAGCACAGGTGCACTCCTATTCCCTCACCCTCATAATTCGATGGGACGGTAAACCGACAAGACCGGAGAGACCGGGCGCAGGACCTACGGCTTTACGTGCTTTCCATGGCACGGGGGTGAGTGAGACACCGCCAACTTCCTGACTCCGGGCAGCTACTGAGAATTTCTTGACGGAAAAACTCAATAATTGATTTTTGCCCCGACCCGGGATTCGAACCCAGAACCTCATGATCAGCAGTCGCACTATTACAACCACTAAACATGTCTATACATGTAATATAATACTTATAAAAAAATGTATTCTAATCTACTCAATTGCACATAATTATATAAAGAGCTATTTTATGGTTTGCAAACATGAAATATGTTAAACTAAGAAGTGATCCTGAGATAGAATCACCTGAAATATCCAGGCAGGTCATGTTGAAGTGTTCAAGGTGTGGATTGAAGCAAATCTCAATTTCAATGTTATATTATAACTACAATAAAGCAGCCACGTTGTTTTTATTAAAATATATATTAAACCATTTTATTTAGAGCAAACATACAATATTTTCATTAGTTTACAATCCACATATTTAGAACCTTAAAAAGATATAAAGAACACACAAAACCATTATATCATCCATTCAAATCATTAATTACACAAGTTCCATTTTAATTATTATTGAAATATTCGTACATATTCAACGAAAATTTATATATTTTCCTAAGAATTTCCTTGTCAGGATACAATTAATGAATATTTAATAGAGCTTTATTTAAATAAATCAATAAAATGTATAAAAGGTATATTGAAGTGATAAAACTATGAAAACTATTCAAATTGGTAAAACTTACAGTATCGTAAATAAAATAGGGAATTAAGGCACCACATACATTCAGTAAAATTAAAAATATTAAATTAAAAAAACTAGGTACATCAATAAAAACAAATACTGCACAATAATTATTAATGACGACAATGAAATTACTATCGTATGATAAATACTAAAATTTAATTTCTATATTTATTTATAGATAGAAATAAGTTTAAATTAGACGAAATACATAAAAAGTCGCAGTGTGATGCCAACTATTTGTAGCCTTGTCGTATTAGTACGCGACAGACAACCTGTGTATATGGATGGTATGTACACTTAACAATAGAATCTAACTCTATAACATCCGATCATATTTCCCACAAAATTACTTAGCAGGTACAGCAACAACATTCAGTCAAAACATCAAAAACTTGCAAGGAATGAAAATTATTAATATTAACATACGTAAAGTACTCGAAGAAAAATATCAATGTATCAAAATAGACAGATACCGTATAACCTAAAATCTTCGTCGCAAAATTACAATAAAAAAATATATATTGTGATCGAAATAAAATGCCACTGAAATATTTTTAGTGTGACTCGTTAGTGGATTTCTTCAATTTGATGCCATTAAGTTTAAAAACACATAAGTTCGGTGGAGTTCTAAACAATATTATCACAGTTATAATACAAAGTAATGTTAGCTCGTTTCATTGTCATTCGTTTCGTTGAAGAAATCTACAATCGAGTTGTAACACTTTATAAGTCGAGTTTCAATACTGGTTTTAGCCGATACGTTGTCATGGGTAAAAGGACGCGGCGATTATGAACGACTTATTAAATCGAAAAAAAAATCACAAGAGTAAATCATTTTAGTAATTGAAGTCATTTAAATAGAATGGGTTGTAAAAAACATTGCGTGACATACAATATAAATATAATCATGTTATGAAACTTCGATCGGAAAGTTTCTTATGAAATAGGAATGGGTAGAACTAATTGATATGATCAAATTAAATACTAGTTCGAATCAGTCATAATCGCCTCAAATCGCGTCAAAAATTTAGAACAGTACGGAGTATACGCTATAGGTACTTATCGGAAAATACAAAATAAAGGTCGATTTAAGATCCTGTTTGAAGTAGTCTTGGCAGGTTAAACTTCACGGCACCTGAGGGTATGTTATTGTGGTTTTTCTGTGTACGCAGTGAGTCGATGTGCCGGCCCTACTGGTATAGCGGTGACTCTTCCAACGCCACCGTCTAGTAGTGGATTCACGACTTGTACAATATCAGGCTGTAGGGAATCCTCCCCAATTTCGCCCTCGCCCAGACTGACTGCGTTGCCTTCGAGATCAGTTGGTGCAGTTTCACTGCTCGGACTCATTGTTAGTTCCAACGATAAAATTTTCTCTTGCGTCGTCTCCACCTGTATAAAAATATTTTTTGTTGCAAAAATATAAAGATTGGCATGTTCTTGGGATATTTACAACGATAACAAAAATATTAATTATGTATTGTATAATGGGCTAGATAACTGTAAGAACTGAAATATTTATAACAAAGAAGATTTATTTAAAATAAGAACTAAGAATAAGAAAAATTGAGTATAATAAAAATTTACAATGTTACTAGTCTAGTCTATTTACAAATATTTAACATGCAATATTGAAAATTTGAAACTATACGTCGAGTGAAGTTAGGCTCTAAGCGTTATAAACTATTAAAAGAAGAAATGCAACAAACCGTTTCTTTCGGTGAAGTTTCCGTGTCTAGAATCCAGGTATAGTCTGACAAATGATACACAAATATGTTAGCATGCCATGCCGAAATATCATGCAACACTCATATATAAATAAAAATAAACATAGATTTCAAAACCCTTTCTAAAACAATTAAACAAGACATTTACAAAAATTTATGGTAATAAACCTTTTTAATAAACTTAAAACAGCTATTAGTTTTAAAAATAGACATAGAGAGAATGAACCGAGCATTAGTCTCACAAAAGGGACCATTCTCTAGAAAGAGACAAAGCGACTATACGGCCAATACCTGTCTCTTTTCTGCAAGCTGAAGGCGCAGTGCCCCGAAAGAAATGGCAAAACGATAAAGAAACGACGCCAGTGACGAGGACCAATCAGAATTCTTGAAAGAGACTACTGGCCGCACATTCGCTTTGTCTTTCGCATTTTTCGGACTATATTCACTGCACAACTGTGATTACGGAACGCACAGACCATTCTCTCCATGTCTTTGGTTTTAAATAATATGCACAAAAAGTAACCACCACATCAAATAATTAGTTGTGAGACGAAAACATATCTACATACTTAAGAACTAACTACTCAGCGAAGATTTAAACTCGGTGTGGTGTTGTTCGAACGAGCCATGTGATTAATATTCATTACAATGTGCTTAACGCCCCTATTACATTGTGTTTGAACCGAAAATTTATCACTAACGTCATGTCTTTGGTAATTCGGTATACGTTAGCATTATTAAATTGACTTTTACCATTTAACAATCTCTTTTTTAAATGTTAAACCGTAAAAGGAAATTTAATAATAGGAGTAAGTTGTATCAGTCTGTTTAGTCGTTGCACACGCAGTTACGTCATCGTTCGTAGCACGTAAAAAGCTAAAGCGTTGTTTTTAAATATACATAATGTAAATAATAATAAAACCACACACGTTACGGCATTGCTTGTATACAGCTTCCTATACACTAAGGCGTAATTTACATTCGCGTTGGTACGCGTACCTCTTTCTCAATCACTTTCTCAATGTACTCCACGGTTCGCACTTTCGTCTCGCCAGTCGCCGGGCATACGTATTCTTCCGTGCGTAGAGTGATTCTCTCGTCTAACAATTTTTCCTTCTCCTTCACGGCAAGTATCGGGCCCGGTTTTGTACGTAACGCGATACGTGGTAGGGGCCATTTCTATAATTTGTAAAGCCAACTTTTGACAATCACAAAACCCAGCGCCGGACAATACAATGCCCGCCAAGCGACATTAAACCCAAACACAGACGAGCAATACACATTTTAATATGCACATTTAGTAAGTATAGTTACTGTCACACACATTTAGGGAGTCACATTTAGAGATTTTACAAATGTCAACGAGGGTTTTTAATAAAATAGGAATTTGGAAGTGTTATTATATCAAGTCTCTTTATGTATGCCGTGTGAATGCTAACTAATGGGGTAGTATCAATTAAAAAAATATTACGTTCAAAACACCAACTATGTGTATGACAATGGGTTAATCATTCGATGTTAACGGTTATGGACAAACATATAAGGATATCCTGGATTGCGAGTTTTTGAACATTCAATTAGTTGTAAAAACGACTAGATGTTAATCAACTGAAAATTAAGTACAAATTATCAACAATATAGAGTATCTTAGTCGTTTTTAAGTACAAGATATATTAAAGGTTTTAATTTCATAACCCATACATTGCCTTAAAAATTAAATCGACATACCTCTGAAGGAGATTTTTCTCGCAATGGCACATCTCCTATGATGTCATTCGCTGGGCCAACCATACTTTTAATAACTTTCTGTGATTCAATGGCCTCCTAGAAGATAAAAGTTATAAAAATATATCGTTACTCGCATAAAATTATAAAACTAATAATACTTATACGATGTTCCGTCGATATTCGCAGTAAGAGTATAACATTCAGAAAACTGTAACATGCTTACGGGAGAGTGACGGTCTTCATGAACTATATACACTTAAAGTAGGGCCAATTTAATATATCACATTTGAAATCTGTCAGAGTTTTGGCTTTATAGTGAGGTGACCTGTTTAAAAACATCGACTAAATTAATCGATACGGATTTCAAACATATGTGAGTGAAATTACAGTACGTATAAGTACTTTTTCATAATAACTGAATAGGCCGTAATTTTAATTTAAAAAAATAGCAGTCGAATTCCTGTCCCATTAGTATTTTCTACCATAAATTTAAGGAAGACAAGTACGTAATTTAACAAAAAATAGCATTTATTCAGTTGAACTACCAGAACTGTAACTAGTATTGTCATCTTCATCACTGCTCTCAGCACTCAGAGATATTCATTTTCAATAATAGGTATTATCTATATTCACATCTCGTTCAAAATGTTGTAAAATTATTTCTTTCTTACGACTCCAGTCATATGTAGTGACTTCTGCGCACGCAGTTTGTAGCAGTGTCAGCATTTTAGAAGTACTGAAGGGTGGTTCAGTATTGTTTCGCGCTGCATGACCCTTTATTTGTGCCCAAATAAGCTCGATAGCGTTATACTGGCAATGGTAGGTAGGCTATCGAATAACATCGTGTCCATGCTTTAGAGCTATTTCACCATTTACATAGCGAGGCTTGAATGGCTTACTTGCTTTTACCAGATTAATCAACTCGACTTTTAATAAAGTTGGAATTGTTTTCACACCATTTATTACGACCACCACGCCTAGCCACGAGACGATCTGTTGCCTTTTACTTACTTGAGTCAGTGGTTTATCAACTTGTACAGAATGCTATTGTGCCATTGTCCATAATCATTTTCGATGGGTTTTCTAAACTGAGTAGCAGCTTCTCAAACCACTTTTTAAAAACCTGCTAATCACTGCGAGTAGGCAGCGTGGAATAAAACCTTGAGAAGCCGAGCCCGCGTGACATAATATAATAAGGCGGGCTCCATTTCCCGATGGAACGTTGTATGGTTTGCATTCAACCATATTTCGTCAATAAACACGACAGTGCCCCAATCTTTAATTTTATTTACTTAACGTAAGAATGTTATTCTCTTTAAAATAATATCGCAGAATTCCAGCAGGATTTTTAGATGATAGATTGCTTGTTAGATTTTTTTTAAACTAAAGCCAATCGATTTTAAAACCTTAGATAGAGACGATTTACCGCCAAAAAATAAGTCTGCCTCTTTTAACGAACCCAATAGCTTTTTCCGTGTAGGATATTCTTTTCTCGAGTAATATCCATAAACGTGCTTGCTAATTGCAGCAGCATCAAAACTATTAGTGCCAATAATTTTCTTGTCCCTCTTTTTTTGCGGTGTACGAATTTGAGTTACTTTCCTCTTCTCTATTCCCAATGCCTTAGCAACACATTCTCTCGATTGTATCAATGGCATAAAAGGCGCATCGTTAACTGATTATTGTCTGTTCAAAATAATTGTATAATTTCACCACCACGCGAGATTGACTGTTTCGCGTTTTTTTCTCGTTTCGACATGATTACGATAAGACTGTTGTTGTTCATGTTTACTAATTGTTAAGCAATCGGAGTCCAATTTATAGCCAAGTCAACGTCAGAGTAAGATCAGTCTAATAAAAAGCCGGGTCAGAAGAAAATAACAGAAAGCACACCATAAACGCACAGTCACTTCGTACAACGACAAAAGAGTGCGTCATGTACGACATGACTGACTAGCGTCATCGACAGGCACTAGTGTCACCAGGAATATCCCACGAGTTTTTGGCCTAAAATTGTGCCTAACTTCGATGATTTCCTTCCCTTCCTCCTTCCGTCTCAAGGATATACATAATCACTGTAGTCGTATCTACTTATCAAGTTTCAATTTTTTTTTGGTAACATGGTATTTGGCATTGGTATTTAAAAAGAAAAAGGGTTCACTGGCACAACAACTTTAGAACAAAAATTGTTTATTATGTTTAAAATGGTTTATTAGTAAAAGTAAATCGTAAAATTACCTCCTTTTGTCATTATTACAATAAATACGTAATCGTAATTGATAAAAGTTACGCAATTGTACAGTTATAACCTAGAAAAAATTAATAATATTTTAGGCCCACCGTTACAAGGTTACGTTTTTGAATTTTGTTGAAGTTTCAAATGTGATCTATTAAATTGGCCCTATTTTAAGCGTGTAATGTAGAAACACGATAAGTTTTTTTTTAAACAAGGCAGGGTGACAAATGGGTTCACCAATTATTTATTAATTTCTCTAAGTTTTTATACACAAAAACAGTATATATATACATAGCGACGTTAATGCTCAAAGGCATTCTCTCCCAGTAAACCATTAAGTTGAGCAGAATATTATTATCGATTAAGAATCAAATTGCAAATTCTTTGTCATCCATAAGAACTAAACAATGCCGCGTTACCAGGAAAAGGGTTCCGATCCTCATCACTCACCATACAAAATATAAAAGCATTATGCAATTCTATACTGGTATTTTGTGGGATTGTTGTCTTTCCCCGGATGAGCGGTCATTTATGCTACATCTGCAATGAAATGTGAGTACTGACGGCGGGAAATACAAGATTTAGTATTTTCAATATATGATAATGTACCGTTACCGTTAAGTCTATTAAAGTCAAATGCTGAACATGGGCTGATGAAGTAAGAGTCACATAGTCAACTGCAACAAGAACTCCTTGATGACGATGATAACAAACGCATTCCTTAAAACATCATCTTCATCCTTTAGGAGGCGTATATGGTTGCATAAATTATTCCTACAATTGTCAGGAATAATTTGTTGCGTCTTATGTAACGAGCTTGTATATGCTGTGTTTAAAATACTCAGCATCAAAGTACCACTCATGGAACTGGAACAATATTTCAAGCGTAGTGTGAAGACATTGATGAGTACCAAATTTAGTATAACTGTTATCGAGCTGACGTGAGGATAGGCATAGCAGCATCGGCGTTGACGTAACAAAGGTGTGAGATGTGGGGTACTGCGATCGTCAATTACCTGCCTAGAATTATGATTAAGACAAATACGAGAGGCCTATGGCCTATGGCCTATAGCGTACCTGTTCTAAAGATCGTAAACGCGCGGCTCTCCAGGCCGCTCGGCGCGCGGCTCTCGCCTGCGGGTCTTCGCTGTCGCCGCCCTCGCGCGCCGCTCGCCTGCGCTGCGACTTCGCCGACGGACTGACGCCACCCGCCCTAGCACTGCGAGGAAACTTAACGTTATGAAGTGTAGAAGTAAGGAGTACCAACTCCCATTGCAGAATAGTTGAAAAAGTGGTCATCTGTTAGCAGTAAATAACAGTTCAAAAACTCTCCACAACAGCGCTGGAGTAGCTACTGGGATGAAATGAACTTAGTAGTTGTCGACGGTGTGAAGTGTGCTGCTAAACTGCTCAGAAGCTCTAAAATCTAAAATAATTTTATTTAGTAAATATAACCTCGAAAAAGTCATCTATCCCACTACTATTTTTCGGTGCGTTCTTTAAAATTTAACCCGTAGCTATAGTGGCGCCACCCTTATTTAACGGTTTTCTATGGACACTTTTTTTAATACACAGTGTGTTTGTACTTACTTCTACACTCCATACTTAACGTGTTAAGCTCTGCTTTCCTAAGATTACCGTACTCTCATATAGCGCCCGTAACACAGAGTCCGCAAAAAGACGCTCGTCTTTACAGTGACGACACGTTCGACTAAAGTTCCATCACCGCTACGGCCATCATATTTTTTAAAAACTTTAGAAACGTATCCGATGCATACGAAAAGGGACGATCATGAGCATTTATAGGGTATGTTCCAAAATAGAACCCAGTGTACTGTCCAATGCAAATGACGTCATGAATCGACGCTATACTAGTGATTCGTTCCAAAACATAGGACAGTATATGACGTCATACATTCACGCCATATTGGAAGAGTGTTGGCGATTATTTTGTCATTTTGTGCTCCAGAAATCATTATACCTTCCTAATGGAGATACTAGCAATTATTCTATATTTTTTTTGTATTTGAATAAATAAAAACAAATTCTGGCATGTTTCATTCAGCGCACACACAATTAAAATTGTTCTATTATGGCCGGATATCCGACGCAATATGGCAGCGGCACGCCAGTACAATATAGTGTCAATTGATGACGTCATTTGCATTTTCCAGTGTACTGGGTTGTATTTCGGAACATACCCATAATATACTTGTAATATGAACAGAGGTAAATAATCGTATGGAGGAAGATGATTTATTCAAAGCTCGTGATACAGAATGTGCATTTGAGACTTTAGAGCGTCACCGGCTACAGTACAAAGATGAGAAATTCAGGGAATATTTAAACCTAACACCTTTTTCATTTGATTACGTACTTAATCAAATAAGATATAATTTAAGTTACAAACCATACAACAGACATAAAAAGCTGAATTATATTGTAAATAGGGTTATAGTTACGCAGAAAATATATTAAAATTTCGTCGTCCTCGCTTATCAAGTTGGGGCTCATTTTGTTTATCGTCACCAGTCACCACTATCGAAAATTCGTGGACTATCTGGCACCATTAAGAAAATCGTCACGCAAATAGCGGCAAAACTTTTTGACGGTACGGCGTCAAGTACTGCCATCTAGGAAACCACACTATTTTATTTTTAAAGACAACGTTATAGTGACATCGTTCACCGCTTCATTAATCAAGAAACCAGAGCTTTAAATGCAACCGTTTCAGCGTCACAGATCAGTTGTTTTTTTTTAATTCTTTAATAAGGTAGTTGATAGAATCAGGCGTTACTTTGCGGAAATCTATTATAATAAAGATATTAATCGTTACTTTGCAACCATTCGCTCATCTTAGCGGTCAGCCGCCGTAGAGTCTACATCTCCTGAAGATGCCTCGTGTAGGGGGGCGAAACACATGTCGTATTATCGTCGATGGTGTGTCTTTCCTGGAAAAGTGGTGTTGGAAGTAGTGGTGCTGGGACTAATGGTGACGGGATTAATGCACGCAATTGAGGAGGGCGGGAGGTGCACTTCAATCCAGGTAAGACACATCATTGTATTAATTAAGCGGATGATTGCAAATTAGATATTAATCTTTATCTTTAATAAGGTACAAGAGTTTATTCGTTTAAGTTATAACTATACTTTTATAGTGAGTGACGACGCTTACAAACACACCAGTCAATGGGTGCGTTTGGCAGAAAAAAGCGCAAGCAAGCGCTTACAAGCGCTGAAATAGTTTTCGGCCAGGACACGATACTACTTCAGTAGCGCTGACACAATCCGCCATTTTGCTTATTTAATTTGTTTGTTTTGAAGTAGAGTTTTTAAGTTGTTTTGTGCAATATTAGTTTTAAGTAATATAATAACGTGAATAAACATATACATGTTATTAAAAATTCATGATTGGTAAGTTTTTAATATGAATACTTTACAAACATATATTTAAATTAGGTTAGGTTCCCCGGTTAAAACTAACATCGTGTCCTGGAGGAAAATAGCTACTAGTTAACTAACTAGCTTTGACAGCGCTTACCGCTTACGATCGCCATTTTGCTTACAAGCGCTTGCTAGCGCTTTTTTCTGCCAAACGCACCCTTTGTCTATATTTTTTATAGATAAGAGTAACAGACGAGCTCACAGTCGACCTAGTGATTAACGAATGCTGTGGCTGAAGCTGTGTGGTTAATCAAGGATAGACGTAAATGTCTATGGGACATCTACATCTATTCTTAATTAAAAATCAAAAGGTCTACTAAGATCAAAGTAGCTAGTTCTGCTTTTACTGACTGACTTTACTTGCCAACTTTCGCAAGATAGATTAACGGGTTGCATGAATGATGATGATGAAAAAGGAATAATTGAACTAAAGTTTACAAGTCCAGTGGTAGCTTAAAGTAAAGTTACAGCCTATATAAGTCCCACTGCTGGGCACAGGCCTCCCCTCATTTCTGAGAGGGTTTTAGGGTAAGGAAGTGTTCGCCGCGCTGCCCCAATGCGTGTTGGCGAACTTCACATGTCTTCGATATATTTTTTTTCCTTATTCCTCAGACATGCAAGTTTCCTCACGATGTTTTCCTTCACTGCCGAGCACGTGGTAAATTAGCAGATAAAATTGCAATTAACACTTTCATTGGTGCCGGCGGGGATCGAACCCAGGTTACTCGCGTTCTGTTATATTTACAGCGAGCGTTAACCATCTGAGCTACCACGGCTAGCTTACTCTTTCTCAAATTACCTATGGCCATTCTCGTAAGGTTCGTCATCTGAATGCGAGCTGTCTCCGCTCTGCCGGTCCTCCGCTTGTGACCACGAGCCGAGATCTGCGCGTGAAAGTGACGCCATTTTTCTCTCCTCTTCTTGCTTCATTTTCTCCACCTCATCCGCTGACAGAAACGTGAAAACTTTTTCTAAAACAAAAATCATTTCAAATATAATGATAATAATAATAATGTCCTCCAGACCGAATTTCGGCCGCGGCGGCCTTCCTCAACGAAGGCTAGCCAACGGCACAGGACAGGATTATAGTGCCCAAGTGTATGCGCAAGCACAGGTGCACTCTCTTTTCTCTCACTCTCATAATCCGATGGGACGGTAAACCGACACGACCGGAGAGAGATCAGGCGCAGGACCAACGGCTTTACGTGCTTTCCGAGGCACGGGGGTGAGACACCGCCAACTTCCTGACTCCGGGCAGCTACTGAGAATTTCTTGACAGAAAAACTCAATAATTGATTTTTTAGGCCGACCTGGGATTCGAACCCAGGACCTCATGATCAGCAGTCGCACTACTACACCCACTAGTACTACACTACACACCCTTCAAATATATAAAAATAATAAATCTATAGTTATTGTTAAAATTAAATATAAACGATATCAACCGCCGCAGGCCGATGGTTCAATCAGCTTACTAACTGGCTAACCCTTTAGTTAAATGCACACGACCAAATGCCTATAGAAAACATAGTTCGTAATTATTTACAAAAATATATGGTCATGTTAAGTCATTTAGGTAAATGAAGTTACTTTTTAAAGTTAAAATTAAAATCAAACTCTTATCAGCTTTAGGCAGCCTGAATAACTAAAATATGTTAAACAATTTATTTCCAAAGGTTTACCTGGTCTAGGCGATGACTTGTGACTTTCTTCCATTGCATTTTCGAAGAACTTTTTCTTATCGCTGACAGAAGCTTTCACAAAATTACCAGAATGAGGTGGGGAAGCCTGGAAAACAGGTCGATCGAGTGAATAAATGAACTGTGTTGCTAAAACATCCAAATGTTAATGACATTGACACTTAATAATGAAATAAGAAGCGCGGTATATTTACAAGCAATGAAAAATAATATTTCCAGATTATTTAATAAAACACCCATGCAGTCAGTTTAGTCAGTTATGCAGCATAAATAATAATGCAAATGTAAGTAAGTAAATTAAATAGAACATGCAAAATATAAGAATCGCAAGTTAAAAACAATGAACTGATCTTGTAACAAAATGGGATATGATATGATGAAGTTTGACACGTGGTTTTTCAAAAATTCGGATTGTTTGGTCGACGAACACAATCAAAATAAGCTGAGTGTATGTGTGGGTAAGATGCCGTACATTGATGTTTACCTCGCCGATGGCGAAGGATTTGATTTTGCTGCTCCATGCGGGTTTCAGGGTAGATGCGGGCGAGGAACTTCCTTCCCTCGCAGGCTCCGAAGTGTTCGACAATCTATCAGATTCAGACGCAGTCGTCACTTCGCCGAAATGGACTCTTCTCTCTGATTGAATAATTTTAGGCATGTCGCCAATATGTATGGGAGGAACTGCATGTGTGAGATTTGCATTCATATCTTTTTCTGACGGGGAGATATTTGAATGGGTTACATTTGGACTATACGTAGTATCTGTTTGATTAGAGACACGTACAGGCAGAGGCTGGGTGTAAGGATTATATGTACCGGCGACTGTCGTCAGCGATGGGTACGGATTACTGGACGGATACGTTGTGGAATGCGCCATATTAAATGGCATACTTTTAATTCTTAGATCTCTAAGCGAGGCATATTCTGTTTGATTAGCGTTCTGACCATCTTCGTAATAGCACAAATTGGGATGTAAATTGCAAGGGGAATTAGGTATATGGGAAACTGTTGGAAGCGTTTTTAACTGCACATGTAATAATTCAGGCGGTTCGGGCTCCCCATCGGGACTGGCCGACAATTCATTATAATATTCATCAGTGTCAATTGAAGGAAGATCAGCATTACGGAAGACTTGATAGGAAGGCACTTCAGAAATTATTACTGTACGAGGTCGCTCATCAGCGGACGGCACTAGCGCTGGAAATGCGGCGTAGTTTACGGGGGGAGGGAATTCAGATTCGGGGGAATTGGTCGAATTCGACGACTGCATGGTTGTTTCGGCCACAACCGGCTCGGGTAGCACAAGTCGCTCGGGTATCACAGAGATGAGTGGCACATCGACTTCACACTCGTTCCGCTCTATTAACTGACTTTGACTTACGTTAGTATCGAACAGAGGCGGAGGGGGGATGATAAAGTCCTCGGGGAGCACCAAAGCCGCCTTCGGAACCGGTTTCGTGACCGCCACCTCGGTTTGCAGCGGTTGACTTTGTATTAGTATAGAGCTACGCATCCCCGAGCATGCATCGTTAGTCGTAGCGTGCGGTTTCTCCGGGGGATTGTCATGCATTTCCACAAGCGGTGGGGTTGGGGTGATGTCTGTTTCGTTTGTTGACAAAGAGTGTCGTTCGTGTTCGTCGGTGTAGTGATCGCTGGTGAAACTAACTCGCTTCATGTTCGGTTTCCGCGGCACTTGCGGTTTCTGTTTGGTGGGGGGAGGCGGCGGCGGGTGGGACGGCCGAGAGATTTGTTGCGAAACTTCTGGCGCGTCCACTGACGTGCCGTCGTTGAATTTAGTCAACGTTGTGGGCGTTGCAGGCGGAATGAGCGCGGAGGACGTGGCTTCTGTGGGCGGCGCGACGAGCGAAGTGGGCGTGGCCGGAGGGGGCGGCGTCTTCACTTTCTGCTGTGTGAACACAGCCAGCGGCGACGGACTCACCTCTTGTGAACTAGGCGTCTAACCAAACCAACAAAATACTTCACCAGTCTCGTTTACAACTCTATTATTTCATCTAGATACGGGCTGAACTCAAGAATAAAACAAATTACGAAGTACTCGATAACGCAAAGAAACGTAAGTATTTAAATAGTATTCATACTTTTGTAATAAATGGCGAAAACAACTTGCACGAAAACTTATTTAAATAATTTGAAAAAGGAAAAACAAAATGCTAATAAAAATACATCGTCCGAACCAATCGAAGAACAAAAATCTTCCAAAATAAATGTTTTTAAAATTTGCTAACATAAAAGGTTGATGTTGTTTTGAAATAAGAGAAAAACAATTACTTTTGAAACATTGTGTATTTAAAAATGCAACACTAAAATATTACTCCAGTAAGAATAATTTCGTGTATAAAAAGTAATGACTTGACATTGAATGGACACAAAGTTATTATCAAACGTTTAAATAATTGGCAGTTTCAAATTTGGCAAAATGTAATGCAAAAACTTACGTTCAATTGAAAAGGACATCATTTCAACATTCAAAAAGCGTACAAACTAATAGAGAAAATATTTTTTTCTCACTACATTATAAATGCTTAATTAACATAATTCATTCAAATGATATGTCGTTAGCAATTAAAGCGTAATATACATTTATAGCGACATAATTGCATTAACAAAATTAATAAATAATACACTAATAATAACATCACAAACATTAAAATGAAAATATTAAAAATCCTTCACTTTCCCTTTATTTCATTTTATCAAAATTATAAAACAATTAAGTTGTAAAGTACTCCGACATTATGAAAACAGCTGATACATAATTGAAAAAAATTGTAAATTGTTTAAAATGGACTTAAAACACATTACAAATAGAAACTTGTGTATAATTTTGAATGCATTTGATTTTTATACAGATTATAAAATAACTACTATGTTACCATTACAGTGAAGTATAAAACAGTTTAAAAAGTTTTATTACATAAGTACAAGATAGTACGAGGTATGTATATAGTAAATACTGAGTATTAAACAAGATTGGTCATTTTGATATTAGGAATTACATATATTATATTAATTAAAGAATGCTACGAAACCGGTGTTGTCATTACAAAGCAAGCGCACAATAATTGTCGTTTTTGTAATAAAAAGTGCTTGCAGGACGATGCTAACTCATTACGTCAATTGTAATTAAAACAACTCAGGACCTGCATTGTTTGTTAAATTGTGATATTTATCTTAAAGGAAAACGACAACGAAAATCATTGTTCCTAAAATAGATTGGTGTACTAAAAGGTTGACACAAATAATGTTTTGAAAATATACTTTTTCATTTTGCATTAGTGATCTATACTTCTTTCTTTAGTAATTGCTTTACATCCCTCTGTCTCCTCTTACGACAGCCACAGGAGGTTATGTGGTAGTGGAGTCCCTTGCGCCGCCACTACACGGCAACCCGTCTCTACACTTTATATATTTCGCAAACATAGAATACTAATACATACATAATAGAACGGGGGAGTGGGCGGAGCCCGCGTAGCCACTAAGATGTCACTAACACGTCAATTCACACGTATAAATGTCAACACGAGATGTGTTTTGACTTTACAATCGTTTCCAAATTTCGGCAATTATTTAGAAAAAGCCAAATTGCACCCTATTTACAAATAAATATGTATTAAATTTTTTTTAACATTAATCAAAAGTCTAAAATGTTTAAATTTATTCAGTCTGTCTACACAGCGAATCGGGTTTGGTGACGCCAAACCTCGTACAAAGTAAAGTTGAAAGCCATTCTATTGTGTATTACAGTATTCTATGTCCGCAAACGAACCCTGTATAAGAAGTTACATGAACATGTAACAAGATAGAAAACGATAACAGTCAATAAATTCCGACACATCTATTCTATGTTAATTATTTTCCAAAATAACAGCTACAAATTATCAAATATATTCAATTTAATTGATATAAAGGAGCTCAAAGTTTTTATTACAGTGTAATAATTGTTTTAAGCAAAATTATATAACAATATATAAACATTAATAAAAACTTCACATCACCCTAAAACCACCACCATACAAAGTACCACTAACAATACATTTCACCAATATGTACATAACATTTTAACAAAATGTCAAAGTTTTCACGGAGTAAAATATCTGACATATTCAACATTTGTGTAAAACATTAGATCTTTAAGTTTATCGGTAGGTATATATTATGACAATTACTTTTATGGGCTTTACTTACACATTTTTATATATGAATAATTAGGAAGTGAATTTTATCATTACTTTAGTACCCATTAAGTTAGTAAATCAGTCAGTTTAATGTCAAGTGTATTGAGATAAAAAGGAACTTTTACATATTGTTGCCATGTTTTTAAAAGGTTAAAGGGTCAAAATATGTCAAATATTCGTTTTCATCCATCCCACAGTATTTATTTACATTAAATTGGACAGAAGTATTCAATTGGTTTACTATGTATTTCCCTCCTTTTCCTCTGGGTTTGCATTCTGCAATGGATGTAATACGGATTGTCAGTATAACTGTCACACTATACGCTTGTCTATTTTATGTAAATTTCGTCTAACACAACAACAACAATTAACTAATCTACCATCGATAAAAGTTTCTACCACCTGGGACTAAGCCAATAGCAAGTTACAACGAAATGGTCCATTGTAAATTTAATTTTGACGTTTTATACGCCATACCACAGATGGAGAAAATACAAATAAATTGAGGTCACATGCAAAACATCTTCTTCAGTTAGGTGATAACACAGATTTAGTACAAGATAAAATCTAGAATAGGTTCAGAGTTAAGAGAGCTTTAAATGTTTTACAATTAAATATATCACCCTTCCCTCTCAGATAAGTCGTCTACATAAAAATAATTTAGTAAAATACACTAAAACGACATTTATTTTGGAAGATATTAACGATATAGCATACGTAGATTACTTGATATAGATAATAAAATATTTTCATGCAAGCGATATACTACAAGGTGCATGCTAAAGACAAATTTAAAAAATTTTGACCGTGCAAAAATACAACTTTTAATCGGCCTTTCAATATAAAATACAAGCCATACTATAGTCATGCCATTTTAAGTTTATTTAGAATATACTAGTAAAAATTAAGGCATATTTTAATACTATTTAAGTGATAAATTATCTGTGCACGTCTTGATAATATTATTTATCTGTCTCTAAGAAGTTCAGTGGTATTAGCGTATTTATTTTTAGAGGCGTTAGCTTATCATTTAATTTATAAGAGTTAGAAAATGTTATAGAGCTATTAAGATTAAGAGCATTAAAGTGTGTATACTGTTGTACGGGATCTAACCTGAGGTTGTAGCGTGTGTTTGGACATGACGACTGTGGTGGTCTTATGTTGCGGCTCCGGCGATGTAGGCGGTGCCGGTTCCAAGCCGATACTTTCCACCGCGTGTACAATATCCATTACCTAATAAATAATATGTTTCAATTATTTTTGCCGTAACATTTTTGCCACAGGTCAACTCTCGTTTTGCACAGTGAACTGTTTAGTTTTGTTTGTCTCATTAAGGATGTGATATTGATCTTCAGTCACTTCGATCAATAATACTACTAGATTCCTGATAAGCGCTTCAAAATCTTTATCACAAATAAGTTTGTGGTCTTATTTCAAATTAGTATGGTCCAATCATAGCCATTTTGACGAATATTGAAATGTAATACCAGGAATAAAATAGAGTAAGCACGAAATTGTTAACACAATATTTTTAACCTTATCACTTAGACTTTAAGTTTCATTTTAGAATAAACATTTGTGTACTTAAGACTTTTTATATTCAAGCGGTATCTTTGTCGGATGCCATAACTTAAATAAACATATTTTGTAATGGTATTTAAACTTTATGTTTGAGTGATAAGGTTTACAATAAACTGAAGTTGTTAATATTTTTAATCTTTTTTTTATATTTCATAGTAAGAAATATAGATGCTTACGTGTATGCAAACGTGGCCACTTGAGCGACTTATTTTTGTTCCTGATCCTTAATCTAGTATAATCATTCATCACAGTTCAGTCAGGTCAAATTACGAATGATTTTTTTATGCAAAAGTGAGGATTATATATTTGACATACCGGCGGTCCCATAATGTACTGGCCTGATATAGTTCAACGCGACATGTCGCTACATGTTGTGTTGCATTAAATAGTACGTTTATCGTGCACTTAATATAAGAAACATGCATCGACATGAAATGCTTAGTCTTAGTTTAACAGGCATTTGAATGACGAGAGTCGCGTATTTTTTCAAAATGTCGAAAACTGAGTATCGAAGTGTCATAAAGTTTCTGTTTAAAGAAGGTTTATCCCCTGCCCAAATAAAAGAACGATTGGATGGCGTGTATAAGGAGTCTGCCCCCTCCTATAGCACAGTGAAAAATTGGGTGAAAGAGTTTCGCCTCGGGAGGGAAACCGTCAAAGACTTTGGCCACGACGGTCGACCTGTGGAAGTGCTCACTCCCGAAACGATTGATCTTATCGAAGAGGAGGTTCTGAGTGACCGTCGTTGGAAGATTAGAGAAATTGCAGCAAGGCTTGGGCTCTCTAAGAGTACCATTCATCGCGCGATCCATGAACATCTTCACATGAAAAAAGTGAGTGCAAAATGGGTACCGAAACTTCTTTCAGCGGTACAGAGACAGGAAAGAGTGCGCTGCGCTTCGTTTTTGGATCTTTGTGGAGAAAATCCAAAGACTGTGATCGAGCGGCTAGTGACTGGTGATGAAACTATGATCTTGTATCATGATCCACAAAGCAAGCGCGAGTCAATGGAATGGCGTTATAAGGGTGAAAAGCCCCTTAGAAAGGCAAAGGTGCAACAACCGACTAAAAAACTGATGTGCACAATATTTTGGGATTTTCAAGGCATTTTGATGGTGGATTTTAAAGAACGTAATACAGTCGTGAACGGCGAATATTTTGCTTCTTTAATATATAAATTACGAGACAAGATAAAGAAAAAACGAAGAGGCAAGCTGTCTAAAGGTGTCCTGTTGCTCCATGCCAACGCCCCTGTTCATACCGCTGGTGTTTCGAAGGATGCAGTTCGTCAATGCGGGTTCACAGAAGTTCAACATCCACCTTACAGTCCAGACATGGCCCTGTCCAACTATTATTTATTTCCAAATTTAAAGCGGGACTTAAGAGGAAGAAAATTTTCAAGCGATGAAGAGTTGCAGGCGGCCGTCTTCAGTCATTTTGAGGATAAAAAATGTGATTATTTTTATAAAGGTTTAGAGATGTTGATTCACAGATGTAAGAAGTGTGTTAGTATTCATGGTGACTATATTGAAAAATAAAATTAGTTTCGTTTCATTTCCTTCATTGGTTCATAGTTAGGCCAATTCATAATGGGACCGCCTACGTACCTTTTCAGGTGTGGATTTTTCCCTTTCTACTGCGACTTGTTTCTCTTGTTCATACTCAACTAGATCCTTATGGAATTGTTGCTCCTGAAACATTATTTACAAGACTTATTATCATCAATTTTTTTCTAAATAGACCAGCTGTAAGTGTGAAATTATAATAAAAGTTGTTAAAACATGGTATAAAAAGGCATTGAATAAAACTAAATTTACGGATTTTATCGCGTTTATTTCACTACTTTTACTTATTTTTAATTCCCGACGTTTCGGGTGCTTTACAGCAACCATGGTCACGGGGGGGACTGAGATGTTTGACGTCCCAATGTCATAGTTAGTCCGGCTACCTTCAGTTTTTGAATATTAATTTTTGGTCCGATTTACGCAAAAAAAAAATTAAAAAAAAAATTAAAAATTAAAAAAAAAAATTATATTCAAAAAAAGAAAAAAAGAAAAAATTGAAAAAAAAATTAATATTCAAAAACTGAAGGTAGCCGGACTAACTATGACATTGGGACGTCAAACATCTCAGTCCCCCCCGTGACAATGGTTGCTGTAAAGCACCCGAAACGTCGAGAATTAAAAATAAGTAAAAGTAGTGAAATAAACGCGATAAAATCCGTAAATTTAGTTTTATTCAATGTGTAGTGTTCGCGTAAATTTAAGAAATCATTATATAAAAAGGCAACTAAAAAAATACAAAAGAAAGAAAAGTGCCCAACTGAGGAATAGGAAACACGAACAGGAGGAAACAGGAACAACGAGGATACGAAACCAATAATTACAATATAGTACAATATTGTGAACGATTAAAAGAAGGTACTATTACTATTTTTAAGTGGCAGGGCTACTTTGGGTACATAGATTTTGTGTGAGACGGTGGATCTTACCCATTTCTGTTGCTGAGAAACTGTAGACTCTACGTTCTAATTCGAATAGTTAGAAAGGCAAGTGTAATTGTTGTGGGCTGTGAGACATTTCATCTCAACCCTCAGAGGCGACCTTCTTTTCTTAAAGTTAGTTCCAAGTGAACTGTGAACCAAGTGCACGGTTCAAAGTGGACAGGAAACCACTTACCATTGGATTTGTTACTGTTTTTGTTAGTCTGTAACTTCTGTATTATAAAAAAATACGTGTGGCACTCGGTGACTGCCGCGGTAAAGCTATTGCATAGCATTTTTTATCAACTTATGCAATTATAATTATTTATGCAGTTAAGTCTTTGATATTAAATCAAGTTACACTTTTTGAGCGTGGTGACCGATAAGAAAACAATTTTTTTTCTCTTATTGAATAAATGAGAAGTTAATATTGTTTAAAATATTTTTAATATCTTACAATACATGTAGGTTATTCAGGAATTTTTATCATTCAGTTAGCAGCTAGTGTACACGCATACGTCTAGTCGCACGCACACAAACACCGTGCCGAAGTCTGCCGAGTGCCGAAGTCTGCCGAACTGAAACGACGTTAGACGATGCACGGCTTTCAACGCCACACCTCCGGGCCCGTCGGAGTGGGGAGCGTGAGATTTTTTTCGTTACGGAATTTCTGGATTCGGTCCCCGCGCTCAAGGCCCGCGATAGAAGCTATGCAATAGCTTAAAAAGTTAATAAACTTTAAATTTTGATAATAACCTGTTGTTGTTGGTGCAAGGTTTCATCCCTGTCCAGGCTCGACGTTGAGTGAGAAAGAGAGCCGCCAGTGTCCGCCGTTCCGCTCTCGCTACCAGTCTGTGTATATTGCGGGTGCATTACTAACTACTATGAACTCGAGCATCAGTTGTACGCAAATCATTAAATGAGATGTTTTTAAACTAAGTAACATACATCATACACATATTTCTTTTTAAATTTTATTAATACATCTAGTAAATTTTCTAAGCAACATCCACAAAACAAAAATTATGCTGTGCTATTAACATCTTTAATACATATAATTTATTATTATGTGCGATAAGAAATTAAAATTTGTTAAAAAAACCTTTGTTTATTCAATTTTAAACTACATAAGTACAAATTCACGTTGAATTGTAATCAATATTATGTGTGGCATTGTTAAAATGACAACCTTACATTTAAACACTTCAACTGACGCAAGCTGAATAGTTATATATACAATCTATATTTGCGATAGTTATTACTTAGTGAAACTCCAGCTTCATTTTTGTGATTTTGATAAACACTTGAAACTAGTACAAGTGTTTATCCAAAACCATCCAATTAAAATGAATAGTTTTAAGTACTTTGCAGTATTATTGTTCCAAAGGTGTTCACTCGGGATGTTTTACTTAATAACCATAATATAGTCCAATGTTAAAACATAAAAATATTAATCGTAAGGAAAAACCCTACCCCAAACATATGCTATTAGTCTATTTCGAGAGGAGCCATATCTAAACATGATAAATTCGTTCCATGCGTTGAAAGTAACTTATTAAAATTGGAAGACCTACCTAAGGACTACATTCACAGATTAGCAAGCAGTGAATCAGTTACGTATTTTAAGTTCAGCGGCAACGTATATTAGAGACTTGTATAAAATAACTTAATAAACATAATATAGTCCAATGTTCACTTAATCGAGATTCCAAATAAGACTTGAACTTTATTGAATGTAAATTTTGTAAATTGCTTTTAGCTGAGTCTAAAAGTGTTACAGTCCAACTGTGAGATGAGATGTGATAAAAAATCTGACGAGAGCAGATGGCGTGTATATTGTGTCCTTTTTGTTCTCACATAAACTGCCAAAAGTGGCTGTCGCTAATTGTATATCACTGAAAATAAGTTGATGCTGGTAGTTTTAAGCCGACATTTTGCGAATTTCATTTTTTCCTTATTTTTAATTATTTGATGGATTTGCTATTACAATTAACAACAAAATAGACATTTATAATTGTGACTGGTTCATACTCTGAAGAGACCAGATCATCTTATTTCAAAATTTATAATCATCCTGATTTTGATTATTAATAAAAACGAACCGCAGAAAGTTTGTTTACATTCTTTATTCTATTCTAATTGGCCTAACGAAACAAATAATTATAGCAGGCACATGCGACGTTTCGTTCACCCGATCTGAAGAACGCGCCTAATGTACTTTTTTCTGAAAATGGGGTCTAACAATGAATCACAGGAGCTCTGTTCGCAGGTCCTGTTATTGTGTACAGTGTTGGACGTAATGTGCATGTAGTACACTATACTTGTAGGAACTTGTGGCATGTAGGAACACTTGCTACCTGCGGTGCCATAAATCATCGGTGCGCTAGGGACAAACGCGTGAAGTGCGTCACTTATCGATAACCGCTTATTGACTTCTAGAAGGGTGAAGAATAGTGTATGCTCACTACGCGCCTTAGTTTATTAATAAGTGCGGGGAATTTAATAATTATCAATTACGTTTATAGGGTATTAATACCTGTTTTAATATGCTTGTATAGTCATTTGACATTTGGACGCTGCCGATTATTGATTTGACATATGAGGGACGTTCAATGTATTCTCGGTATTAGGGTGATTAGCTCATTATGTGCATAATTATAAAAAAATCATTAGTTAACGACACTACCTGAGGATATAAATATGAACCTTCGTCTCGGTAACTCCGTTACTTCTTATGTGTAACCTTCAGTCATAGATGACGGGATTGACTGACTCGACAATCTTGTTGTGAAAAAATTCAAATAAACATTCATGAAGAAATGGTGGCCGTTTACCTAAACAGTGCTCCTTCAACGTCAACCGTACATAAGTGGTCAAGTGAATTCAAAAGAGGCAGGGAAAGCATCGAAAATGAACCCCGCCCTGGTGGACCAAGCACAGCGGCTACAGAATAAAATATGGAAATTGCTGAAAAACTTGTATAAGATGCACGAGTAAGAATTAAAATGTTAGCAGAAATGACTAAACCATCGGTTAGTACCGTGCACACCATATTGCTGACTATCTCAACCTCACAAAAGTCAGTGCAAGATGCGTGGCGTGAATTCTCACTGCGCCTCAAAAGCAGGCGGGGGTTGACTGTTTTAGGGAGTTTTTAGAGCTGTGTGCTGAAGTGTTTTCGATAAGATAATTACAAGAGATGAAACGTGGCTTTACAACTATTATACTGAGAGTACACAGGAGACTATGCAATGGCATAAAAAAGGATCAGACCCCACTAAGAAGTTCAAAGTCAATCCATCGGCCGGTAAAATCATGGTCAAAGTGTTTCGGGATTCCATAGGAATACTATTGATCGAGTACACAAAAAAGGTTAAACCATCAATGCATACAAATACTCAGCTATTTTACGCCGTTTGAGAGAAGCAATAAAAGATAAGAGAAGAGGAAAGCTGATCAAGGAAATACTGTATGTGACTGCGGGTTCGACGAAATTAACCACCCACCATACAGCCCAGATCTAGCTCTTAGTGACTACTTTTTATTCCCAAACTTACAGAAAAAACTTCGGGGAAAGTGATATGATAATGAGGTCAAAAAAAGCTATAAATGAACATTTTTAGGCCAAGACGATGAATATTTTTTTCAAGAGAATAGAAAAGCTTCTTCACGAAAAAGTAAATGTATTGATATCATGGGATTATATCTTATTTCTAACATACCCATACCGAGAATACAATGGACGGCACTCGTAAGTTAAAATGGACCAATAAATAGTTTTCTTTTTTTTTCATTGTTTATTTTTCATAATATACATATTGACACAATGGTGCGTCACTACGCCTGCCGTGAGTGCGACAGAGATCGCAACAGGCAGCAGGCGGCGTGGCGTCCCGTTTCCCGGTTCCCCACTGGATTGCATACGTACGGTATACTTATCAGGGCGCGAGTAGCCGTGGCATACGACAAGGTGCAGCGGCGCCAGCGTGGCGGCGCGCAGCGCGTTCACCGCCTCGCCGTGCGTGGCACCCAGCAGCGACGCGCCGTTCACCTCCAGCAGGCGCATGCCCACCTGGTACAGACATCGTACTTATACAACCTTACCGAACCAGCTGCGAGCTACAGCCAAAACGACTTTTTACGATTGTTAACGCTAAAGAAAACTATAAAAATGAATGAAATCAACGCAAGTTAGGTGACCTAACGTTCAGATATGTCGTTCCCATTTATTTTTATAGTTTTATATAGCGTTATTGATCGTAGAATGTCGTCTTGGCTATTCCCGCTCACGATATTCCTAAAAATATCCTTCTTCTTCAACAATCACTAAAATTTGAGCGTTAGTTGTAGGCTACTCTTTAAGTATTTGAATTCACCTATATTCACCACAATGAGCAGGCGGGTTCTCAGTACAAAGCTAAAATGGCACACAAACAACACTGCTTTCCATCAACAATCATTAAAAATTGTGGCTTTTAGGATAGACTTTTCTCCATCAGTCAGTCATCAAAGCCTCTTCCATCAGTCAGCAGGCTACATTGCGCACAGATTGACAAAACATAACATTTGAAGAAATTGTTGCATTACTCCTCACATCCTAAACGATTTTGAAAATATTCTTTTTTTAAATAAAAAGGCTACCTTCACAATAGAATTCTCTTTTGTATCGTAAGGTCAGTTTACATACATAAATTTCACAAAGACAACCATCCAAGCCCTGGGGGATCGGAACCCGCGGCCCTTAACACAGCAACTCATTGCTAAGGCACTGCCTCACGGAGCCTTCAATATTACTTAATCTTTATAGCAGAATGAAGTGTTACTTCATATCATCACGTATAGGTGTTAAGGTTTTAAATAAAATATTTTTATAAAAAAGAAAACATTAACCGCGATCTGGACAACCTTTAGTTTTCTAAAGGATCATCCATAGAAATATAAAAAATCATCTAAGACCGGCAACGAACTGTTTGCGAGCTGATGTTGAGGAGGAATATTTTGGCCACGCTATGTAAAATGATCGGCCAGTAGCTGTTGTACAATAACGATTATGGTACAAAGAGTCCTTAAAAAACTATAAAACACCAGACTAACAGGCTGACGATAGAACAGTTGATTCGTTACCTTGAGTCGACCGTCTCTCCTGGCCGCTCCGCCACTGTTAATTTTGGATATGAAGACGCCTTCATCGTTCGGATCGTTCGGATTTCCGCGTTGTCCGTTTAGACCTCCCTTGATGTGCATTCCTAACTTTTCTCCTTCTTGTTTTATTATCGTTAACTCCTGCAAAAAATGTGCATTTAAAAATACTGTGTCCGAAGAAATGGTACAGAATTTTATTTTCAAATATCACAACATAAAATATACACACACACACACATATATACCATAATATCATCAAATTCATTAAAGCTCTGGGTTTATAATAAAATGAATCATGCAAAGCGATACAAACCATGCATTTTGAGAAACTAATTATTTGCCAAAACATATTCTATAAAACAATAGCTAACGTGTATAAATACGAACTCAGACAATTTCTTTAAAAAGCTTTAACGGAATGGCTATAGTTTCCAAGGGCAAATAGGGGTGGTCATTCCCCCCAATATCAAAGATCGTTTGGTAAATCCTGTATATATAAAGGATAAAGCCTAAAGAAAAAAATAACCATTCATACGACGTTAGCTGAGCACACTGAGTGGAATAGGGTTGTAATCTGACACATATATTTGGTAAACACACAGAGGTTCGAGATCGCCGGGTGACTTTCACACTTACAGTTGCGTCAACAATCTCAACTTGAATGAGACCCTGAATTCGTGTCGCAGATGCCATCGTGCGCACGTGTGGAACAAACAACGATTTCGCTTTTTATAACATCTCATACAGTTTAAAGTAATTTTTTTCGACGTGCTAACATTTGTTCAATTTATTGTTTAAATTAGAAAAGCATGAAAATACTTTTAATTCAAAGACTTTAAGCGTCAGACATATTTACTTTGCAAGTGTTTTAGTTTAAGCATGATGCACATTTCATTTCTGTATCGCCAAATGCTACTTAAGCGACAAACTCTTACGCAACATTCCATATTAATTACAATTGTGTTATGCTTTATTGTCATTTCACATTGATCCAATGTTTGGCATTCATGCACACATTGTCCTACTTGATGAGTACACAAAAATCATGAGAATTATTACTTAATCAGACAGGGATTTTCTAATGAAGAGTAAGCGATTCGTTTTTAATTTCGCAATCATTATTACTACACTTACTGTATGATACAGGTTCGCCAAATCAAAAGATAAATATTGTATTAACTTTGAAATAATTTAATTCAAAAGCTTACAAGGCCTTTAAACGTACCTACCACAGTTAAAGTACACAATGCAAAATAGTATTAGTCAATTTGTTAATGTCGTTTATTTACACAAGAAATTTGCAAACGTTAGAAAGTATATTATACCTATTTAAATATTTTCATTTTAACAAAATAGCTTTTTATGCGTAAACATCATTATTATTGTTTCCAGAGTTTATTACCAACATGTTTTATGTATCGAATATTAAGAAAGTAATGTTTTGCATGTTGCATAAAGTTGTAACTATCCAACAATATTTTTAGTGTTTATAAAAAACTTTTATTTAATTTTTATTTATTTTTTAGATCTGTACAATAAATGTAATCACGGCAAATACTCAACCTGTAAAACTGATCAAGTATAAATAATAATATGTTTGTATAGAACTTGATACTGGATTTCATTGCTTTAATAACGTATTCGAGTTTATCTCGTGTAAATTATAAGAGAGTGTTTGTTTCGGAGCAAGTTTGCTATGTACCTGGAAGCCTGGCGGCAGTGGATCGTGTCGCACTGTGAGTGTTAAGGTGGGTCCAGGCTGCAGTAGAAGTTGTACAGCTTCGCGATGGGTCGCGCCAGACAGCTCCGTGCCGTTCACTTTCAGCAAACGATCGCCCATGCGGAGTTTGCCTGATAGTGCGGCAACACCGCCGGGGACAACCTGTTTTAATTAAAATTAAAAGGATTAAAAATATATTTTAAAAATTAACTTAAATTCGTAATATCTCGCCATAGTTAATATTCTCGCTTTGCAGGCGGCTTGACAACCGCAATTTTTTTTTTAATATTTTGAATTAATATCAGGTAGTTGCTGCTACCCATCTTCTGTTTTGGGTCGTGGTAGCTCAGATGGTTAACGCTCGCTGTAAATATAAAAGAACACGAGTAATTCGGGTTCGATCCCCGCCGGCACCAATGAAATTGTTAATTGCAATTTTAAGTGCTGATTTTACCACGTGCTCGGCGGTGAAGGAAAACATCGTGATGAAACCTGCATATCTGAGAAATAAGAAAGAAAATATTTCGAAGAGATGTGAAGTTCGCCAACACGCATTAGGGCAGCGCGGCGGACACTTCCTTGGCCTAAAACCCTCTTATAAAAATGAGGGGAGGCCTGTGCCCAGCAGTGGGACGTATATAGGCTGCAACTTTACTTTTACTTTACTTATCTTCTGTTTTAGTTTCCCTCTGTCGCCTCTTACGACACCCACGGGACGATATGGGGTAGTGGATATTCTTACACCGCCACTGCACGGTCAACCCAGCTGTCAAGCGTGGCAACTATGGCAAAATCCTCCATATGAGGCAATCTATAGGAGTGACCTATGTTCAAGCAGCGGACTTTTATAGGCTGTTATGGATATTATGGGGCTTCGGATCTGACTGAAATTTGTATATAGCTACATACTGCATGACCTTTTTACCGTCTGGAAAAAAATAGGGTGTAGCTTGTGAACGAAGTAGAAGCCTATGGAACTGATATTTTACAAAAAATAAAAACAAAAAATTTGACTTAAACTCTTACTTATTTCTGTTTACTGGGCAGATAAAGGTATGTGACACCACCACGGACCACCTAGCCTACGAGACATGTAACGAAGGCGACAAATTTCTGTACTTCATCTGCTCAACAAGAGCCTATATTAGTTGAACACGAACGCTACCCTGTTTAGATGTGACCAGACAACAGACCTGTGCACTGCGTCCTTAGTCCTACAATTTTTATAATAAAAAAAAACAGTAAAACATGCCTATTTGCACAGTAAAGTGGTGTGGTAGTGATGGCAAGAAACATAATTTCAAAAAGAATAAAATCACGTTTTATCGGTAAGAGCAACATTTAATAATATTAAAATACTAAAAACATGTGGGTTCAACTCGTTCTGGTCCTATTTCTGAACAGTCATTCTATTATATTTGCGTATTAATCTATTTGTAATTATAATTTGAAATCTAAATTACAGTTTTACAAACCCTAATGTACTTAACTTTACATGTATTTAACGATGTATTTTACGCATCATTCATTTGTTTAACGTTACGTTTCCATAGTCTCTCATATTTACGTACGTACGATTTAAGGATGTGACACATCTCTAAGTTAAGTCTCCCGCGCCGCTCGCACACCTTTCTTTCTTCTAACCTTAACAGACTAATTAATTAGAGAATCGTAATGGTTTCATGTCTTGTAGGCTGGGTGGTCTGTGGGCACCACCCATGCAATGTGGATTACAATGGAGGAGGGAGATAATATGACTTATGTTTTATAAAATTAATAACAATATTTACAGACATTTCGAATGCAAAAAAAAAAAAGAAAAAATATCTATTTGTATTGCGATTAAAATATTTTAAATTAACTACTATTCTCAAATACTAACATGTGAAACGAAAATTCCTGGTTCTTTGCCTCCAAAGGGTACACAGGAATGATCAGTACCGCCAATAATACTGAACCCAAGCGAACCGCCTTCTTTCAACAATGTCACATCCTGAAACAAGAATTTTTTGTTGTATAGTAGTTATCTATTTATAAATAATATTTGTAGATATATTAGCGAAATAATAAAGCCAAAAGCAAAATAGCTAGCATTTTAATAGCGACCTAGATGAAAGTGTATACAGGGCTATTTTGCAACTACTCAAATTTGCATAGAAGGCTCAGTATAAGTAATATAGGTAAAGAAAAATTAATTAAAAAAAATCCTAAACAGAATGTTTAAGAATTCCTTCCTTCCTTTTTATCTTTTAAATTCAAAGTACGTGGTAATGCATTATTTTAACTGATTTCACTGCGCACGCACACATTTGTAAGGGTCAATCGGTAGGCAAAAATGTTGTTACACATTAATCACATTCAATTAGGGATAATTTCACATAAAAGTAGAAGCCTTATATACTCGTATTTTGAAAACAGCAATATCGGTATATCATTATTTATATATTTGAACTTAAGTTGAAAATTTGGCTACCCTTCGAAAAAATTACCCTGTATAGTGATGAAACTGTTGTGACAAATACTAACAGTTTAATTTAAAAATATAGTGTTGCTGAATAAAAGAAAATCTAGATGTAATATTTTTTGATAAATAAATATGCTTAATTGGCTTTTAAGGTATAAAATGTATACATTGATATGCTATTTTATTTAAATATAAATAAATTTAAAATTCTAATGAACAATATTATATATAAATCATAGTAAAAATATCAATAAACGAACTTCATCGGAAAGTAGCTCGCTTTTCGAGAAGTTACGTTTATTTAGAAGGACAACAAAAATGGAGAAGTAAATATACAAATTGAAAACATATTTTTATATAATCACGGTTATCCTGAAAAATCTGGAACATAAGACAAATCGTAAAAAAATTACTCTTTCGAATAAATCCTGTAAAAAGGTTTCACTAAGTTTTAAAGTAGTATCAGGTCGTTATAATTATTTTTTAAGGGACTTAAAAACATTTATTCTTGGAGAACTGCGTCTAAAATATTTTGACGAAAAGTTCCAGGGTTTGATGATAATTGCAATAATTTATCGCCATCGGTCTGAACGACTGGAGGAGATTCCACATGGCATATCCATAAGTAACGTTATAAATATATAAAAATAACGAAATTTGGCCAAAATATTATCAGCGACACTATTATTGAGCTCGTTTTTATCTCACAGCTGCAATTTCGTGAGAATCTTAGGAAGAAATTTGTGAAACAGATATAATAGAATATCTACGAATATTTCCTCCATAGCACAAAATATTAATCGAAGACAAGAAAATATATACATTTGAGATTTTAAGGAAGCAAAAAAAAAATCGACTGAATACTGTGGATGAATAAATGTTTCAGTTCAGTCAGATTAAACAATCATCCTTGTAAATTAACTAACTGAAATATTCAAATATCCATTACAAAGTGAATACTATGCCTAATTTGATAAAACTTACAAGAAATCGCACTAGCTTATCTACATGACAAAATTCTAAAAAGTATAACGCGCAATGGTTTTACCTTTTACCTTTACCTTATTGTATAATATACTATGTACTATGTATTTCAGTGTTGTTTAAGCAAAACAGCGAATATACTTACAGTGCTTGTAGTTGAAAAGCAATACGGATTTACATTATTGGCAGTAGGGTACAAAAATAATTATACTTGTAACAATTAACATTTATAATATATTATGTATACCCACATACACAACTTGTAAAAATTCAGGTAAAATTTGAAAAATAATAAATTAAAAACGTATTGGATTTGTTGCAAGTAATTAAGTACCCCACTGCCCATATAGTGTGTAGGGTTGCCAACCATATTATAAATATTAAATATTTCGAACCCTAGGCCGACATAATCATATTTCGTTCATTTTGTCACGTGTTTCATGTAAGGTCCTTCACACATTACGATACTTACCGGTGAGTAGTATCCTACATGAGTCTCGAGAATGAGTCGCCGATGAGAATCGCACATAATCGCGCGTTCAATGTATTCTCGGTATGGGTATGTTAGGAAAAAGATAAAATTATTATTATTATATTAATTATTATTATAATTATTATTACATTCTGAAGGAGATTGACCAAAAGTGGTACCAAAAAGTCTCGCGCCTCAAGACCGAAATTTAATAGTAATTAGTGTCATAATTTTTTACGGCATTACACGTCCGGGGATTTGATTTTTGAATATGGATTTTTTTTGAGTTTAAAAGTATGAATACTGTTTTACTCAGATATAGACATAGACCATGAACCGAGCATTTTCTGGCTAAAATTGACCATACTATCTAGGAAGAGAAAAATAATTATATCACAATCTATCTATTTCTTTTACATTACTAAAGACATTATCTGTCTTACAGGAAATTAATATTTTATAGTTATTTGATATTTCACTATTGAAAGCTCAGTCCATGCTCTGTGTCTATGGCTTTACTCCATATAAATGACGTTTATAGTTATCTTGCATTCAGATGCGATAACTATAAACTCAATATTTGTGCTAACACACTACGCATACGCATATGCTATCTTTGTTCTAAGAAATACAACCGTCTGTGTTTTTGAGAGTTGAGATCGGTTGAGTTGAGTTATTTGAGTTGAGTTATTGAATTTTGTGTTGAGAAGTAGAACTTATTTGTATTTTGTGAACCTTTTTTTCTTGTGTATTTAATTGTGCAAATATGTCGAGTCGTGGAGTCTACCGATTGACACCGTCAGTCACCCGGCAAAACAAACGATATATCAATTGTTAAATTTTGATACCCAGAAACCTACCTACACATTCACTGGAACAAGTGTCTACTCCAATGATTAACTTGTTACAGTCGTGGATAACTCCTACTCAGGTAAGCAGGTCTTATTTTACTCTTTGAATATATACCTAAGAATGTCAGATTTCTACTACCGTACCATTTTACAAAACATTTTTATAGAATGAAAGAAATATTTATTTTGGAAGAGCATAGGAAATAACAAATGAATAACAAAAAACGAACCTGTTTGAGGCCAAAAAAGGCTTTACTCTTAATTACATATAGACGTAACTTCTGTGAATATGTTACAGAAGATAGATAATGTCAAAAAGGTTAAAAACACACTGTTTAATTCAAGATTTTTATGGCAGTTGTCTCCAGAATGTGTGCTTTGGAGTGTTTGACACTGCTTCAAGATCGAGCAAATACAATTAGTGAAGGATTGTCTGCTTTTGGTCATAGAAAATTATGTTTTCCTTGTGGCAATTCTATTCTACGTGTAGGACAAGATCGACAAGAGAGAAACATTTTAGTTAGACATGTTCTGCTGCATCTGGTAAATATTTTTTATAATGATGCAACATAAAAAAAAACAACGTCTTATTAATGTTCTTATGTCTTCAATCTTCTATAGTTGATAGTTATTAGATGTGTTTATAATATTGAGTCCCAATAAGTGGAGGTTTCACAAATAAATAATGTTGTGGGCGATAATATTATCTAGTTTAACACAATTACTGCCTGCTCATTATCATACGTGGTAGAGCCATGCTGCAACTATATTAGTAGTATATTTGTAGCACGAATGGGTCAGCTCGACTGGGGAAAACCATGCCCTCACAAAACACCATCGTGAAATAGCAGCTTAACGCTGCTGTGTTTTATATGCTGAATGTAAAAAACCGGAGACCCTTTTTACTGGAAACGAAGCATTCCATCGTCCTCACGGGTGACAACGCATCTGCATTTTGATTTGTGATTGAGAATAGATGTAGATGCCTATGGGCCACAGCAAATACTAATTATCATCAGGTGGACTACATGTTTGTCATCCTATATTATAAAAAAATGTATTCCTAACAGTTGCATCACATTACAGTACATACTTTTATCAAGTTTATAACCCATTGTGAATGTTTCATATTACATGTTTAATTGTGTTATTTTTAGATGTCAAGATTGGAAAAAGTGTGTGCTGCTTGCTGGAGATCAGCTACAAGAGAAGTGCAACGTCGTGATCAGCACGACTCCAATTGTCCTGATCTGCCAGAAGCTATTTTGCCTGATGTTGGATCAAGTAGTAATGTCAATATTCCTGAGCCACCCCCTCTTCCCCAACAAAACCTACACACTACTCAAATCACAGAACTCAAATCCAACAATTAGGTATTCTGTGTATAAGCGCGCTGTTAGCACTTCCAGTCACTGTATATTTGTTAATTGTTTGAAACAGAACATTTACTAGTACCCTCATCTATAACGGGTCTATTATTACTTAATAATAAATTCTATGTGCCACCAGCAGCACGAATCTGTCGTCACCACCTGGATCATGGCCGTTGGAGCGAATTAACTTCCCAGTTAAAAGATTTTACTGGTAGTCAATTCGACTCAATAATGAAAATAGCGCAGCGAGCTGCCTTTTTGCATATATATTTCTCAAATATTTTAATTATGCCAACATATTTGTGTCACTTTTGCGTAGGCATGAACTCGGATCAGTTTTATGATTTGTTAAACTGTATCCCAAGTCTAGCAGGACAAGTACCAAATGTCACGAATGATTTAAGCATTTACTTAGTAAAGCTTAGAACTGGTGATAGTAATGAAAGGTTGGCAACTCTCTTTAATAAATCTCGTGACACCTTAGAACGCTTAATCAATAAGACCAGAACGTGTTTAATTAATGAGTTTGTTCCATTGTACTTAGGGTTTAATCATATGACTTTTGAATATGTTGCTTCTAGAAATAGAATAACACCAGAAGGATTATTTGGCAATCCTGATTTGCCACCTAATTCTAAACCAGCAATAGTCACATGTGATGCTACTTATGTATTCATCCAAAGTAGTTCCAATAACTTATTTCAAAAACAAACATACAGTTTGCAAAAACTGGATAATTTGGTCAAACCATTTATGATAGTGTGTTGTGATGGTCATATTGTTTGTTGCCTAGTTTTTAGGTTATTTTCGATTTTATAAAATCAACCCAGGTTTTTTTTTCGAAAAGGACTTTTGTAGAAGTTAATATGATCAATGTAGTCTATAAAAAACAAAGTTTGATTTTGATGCAACATGGGCATCATCTATTGGTGCGTTGTCATGAAGAAGCAGCACTCCCTTGGTCAGCTTTCGTCTTCTTTTATTGCTTCTCTCAAACAGCGTAAAGTAGATGGGTATTTGTCTGTGTTGATGGTTTCACCTTTTTTTGTACTCGATTAATAGTATTCCTTTGGAATCCCAAAACCATGTGGCCATGATTTTACCAGCTGATGGAGTGAGTTTGAACTTCTTAGTGAGGTCTAATCCCTTTTAGACTCCTCTTTACTCTTAGGGTCATAGTAATGAACCCACGTTTCATCTCCTGTAACTATCTTATCGAAAACACTCGTTGGGTCATCACCACACAGCTATAAAAAATCGCTGCAACAGTCAACCCGCGCCTGCTTTTGAAGCTTGCACTAACTTTTGTGAGGTTGAGATAGTCATGCAATATAGCGTGTATGGCATAATAATAATCTTCGTAAACCGCTATAGTTTTTCATGGATGTGTTTTTGTGTTTTTCCTTGTTTAGTGAAGAATTTAAACATCGCACGGTGCGGTGTTTGATTTTTTCAATATTGTCGAGTCAGTCACTCTCGTCGTCCTTGACTGAATGTTACATAAGGAGTAATGAAGTTATCAAGACGAAATTTCCCATATACCCTCAGGTAGTATCGTTAGCTAATGTTTTTTTTAATTACCCACATTATGAGCAAATCATCCTAATACCGAGAATACATTTAACGTCCCTCGTAAATTTGAACGGTGATTGGTATACTTCGTTAACAGTGTCATACCCATTCACAAAATGTTTCAAGATGTTCGTTATGTCGGTCACCAGGGCGTTGCGTTTCCAACGAATGTCTTCGAGATGATGGCGAAGAAACAATTTAAGGCATAATGTTGAATGCATTATTTGATGAATATCAGGTTCCAAATTTAATAAAATGCCCATAAGATTCTTTTGACATTTGTTTAATATGATATTAAAAATTTGTCATCTTGTAGTTCTGCAACATGTGTTTCTGCATGAACTCTATAATTTATGTTTTAGTCAATAAATGGATGAATTTAGTATCTAATATTTTTGCTAAGGTGTTCTGTTTCTTAATAAGAGGAAAACGGTAAGAATTTCTTCATTACTAAAATTATTTCTCATAGTGACCACATAAAAAATTTCTTTTTATTAATACTGTCTTACGATACGATGCAATTTTGTTCATTTTAAGTAGCATATTGTACGAACATGGAGAAGTGGACAAATATTTCATTAGTATCGGATGAGTGTCGTATCTTGTAAGTGTTATAATGTAAGAAGGGCCGAATCGCCAAATGGGGAGTAAGATACCGTTGTATAGATTCAAGAAGTCGAATTATTATTGGTCGGCTTTCAGCAAGTCTTCTATTAAATAAAAGTAAATTAAGTTGTAAATTTTTGTGTAAATCCAATATTTTAACATGTAATTTTTGAAAATAAATATGTATTGGTATGTACTTTAATCCGATTTTGCGTACAAAACTCGAAAAAACATTTGGTTTGATAAAAGTTGGCAACCCTAGGTGCGAGTGCATAGCGTCGCGGGAGGTGACTTACTTCAGCGATTAGCGGCGCGACGAGGGGGTTGTCGGGGACGCGCGTGACCGTGGGCTCGGTGAAGGTGGACTTGGTGATGGTCTCGGTGACACGGCCGAGCGCGGTGGGCGGCGGCGGCAGAGCGGGCGCGGCGGGGCGCGGCGCGCGCTGCACGGTCACGCGCACGCCGCGCTCCGGCGGCAGCTCGGCGGCGCGCGGCGCGCCCAGGAAGTGCGCCGGGATCATCGCTTGGAACTCCTCGTTCGTGATCGGCCGCGACGGCTGCGCGGTCAACACGTTCACATCGCATCAGTACGCCGACCGACACTTTCACTAATTCATAACTCATAGCGACAGGGCGTATATGTGTGTGGCGTGGATGACTCAAGTCGTAAAGCTGTCTTTAAATGACCAATATCTAATTTTGCACATTACTTGAGTAATATTTAAAAAATAATAAATATACTTAATCCAGATATCAAATATTAAAAGAATACATACATACGTTTGCCAATTACATAAAACAAATCAATTAAAAACAATTTCGAAAATTTTCTAAACAAATAAGATAAAAAAATACTTCATTAATATTTGTTATTTTATAAATTTAAAATCAATTTATATAACACAAAAATTTTATATTACATATATAAGTTAGAAATAAAAACTTTCATCTGCATTATTATTTTCATTTGCATCCTGTACCATATAACTAAAGCTTTCTTCCTTTAGGCCGGTTTTATAGCTCGACCGACCGTCGGTGCGTACCTCGGTCGCGCTTGCCTATTGTAAGAAAATTCAAAGTCGTTACAGTGCTCGACCGACCGTATGCACGCGTATATAGCTACGCACTGCGTACGAGGACCGTCGGTCGAGCGCGTCCGCATGCGTACCGTCGGTCGACCGACGCGCTATGGAAACATATTGTCGCGTTCAGTGCTACACCGACCGTACGGATGCGTGTATCGTCAAGAAAATCGAACCTAAACTTTAATAATATTGTATGATTTTATGGGCATTAAGTAGTGTTAGTGATTTAAGTAATTTTTATCAAACATGGCCTATGTCGACACCGAACGCCTCGCGGATGTTTTAAGTTTTCTTGTAATTTCACTGATAATTCATCAAAAATTTTTAATGACATTCTAAAGAAAATGAAAAATTTTTCTTCATTTTCGCGCAATAATGAATATAAAGTAGTAAATTCCCCCTTAAGTGCTCTTTGGTATATCTACGTCTTTTGTTCCTTCTACGTTTACGAACATAGTAAGCAGCAATTAAACAATTTGTAAACGCGTCCATTTCGTGTACGTGTTTGTGACTGTACCAGTCCGGCCAGTTTCGTTGCTCAGGAGAGCACTGAACGCTACAAACTGACGATCGGTTATGCGTATCGTCAGGACCGATGGTACGCACCGACGGTCGGTCCAGCTCTAAAGCCGGCCTTATAAGTTTAAAGAAAATGTGATAATCCTAAAAAAGTTTTACCAAACAATAAAAAAACCAAACAAACAAACAATACCCAAAACGATAACTTTGCTTTTTTAAATAAATCAAAATAAAGTAAAATTCCATATTTTTTTACAAACGTCAAAATCTACCACCAATAAGACAATTTCAAACATTGTAATAATTGTAATATCTTTATTTACTCATAAATTGTTCTTAGTTTTTGAAGTATATTGATCTAAATCTTAATATATACAGAATGGGTCCCACATATATGCAATAAATGAAACCATATACTTGTTATCGCCTTTGCTGACGATATACAAAAAATGAACGTAATCGGTCCAGTAATTAGGTCAAAAAGTAGAGTTTTAATTTTAAGCAAATTTGAACACTCTATAGAATTGGGTCACTAAGTCAATGATTCAATGAACTTGAATCCTTGAACATTAAAAAGCGACGTTGCCACGCAGTGCAAACTATTGGTATTGCGACATATCGACAGCGGTGTCTTTTGTCGGCGTGCCACCCGCGTGCAACGTTGTCACTCTTCCAAGGGGTCAAGGTACGTTATCTAAACAGAGTGTTCACTTTTACTGAATTTATTTTAATATTTATTTTGTTTGAAAATTTCACTTTTTTATTTTACGGGTTTTAATTTAAAATTTAATTTTTCTACACTTCTACGGACTAGTATTACTTGTGGTTTCATTCATTGCATATATGTGGGACCCATTCTGTATATAAATTACGTGTCACGTTGTTTGTCCGCGATGGACTCCTAAACTACTCAACCGATTTTAATCAAATTTGCACACCGTGTGCAGTTTTGTCATCTTGACAGATAGGATAATTTTTTTTGCCTATGAGTGACCCAAAATTTTTTTTGCGAATTTAAGTATTTTTAATAGGCCATGACAAACGGTCGTCGAAAACGACAGAACAAAGTCTGCCTAGCAAGCTAGTTACATATTATAAATAAAAAGTTAAAATTAACGTGTCAGCCATGTCCAACGGGTGACCAGGCAGCATGAAAAAATTAAATGAAATTTTAAATTGCTCTCATCATTTTCTATATTTTGAAATAAAGTTTCTGCATCCCTGTTGGCCATGTCTAATCTCGTCTTTTTTTCGGGGATTCGTTATTTCAGTTTATCGCAAAAATTTGCATAATATTCAATACATATTAGTTTGTCTAGTTGACTAGCATTGCCGGGTAATCGATAAATGCTGTGCTTACCAGTGGGTTCCAGTCGGAAGGGTATGACAGCCAGTACAATTACCGATCCATGTTATTTCTCAGAAGTGGTAACGCATCTGCAACCTTCTTTGCTTAAAGTTGGCTGCATGTGTTCGTGCACGAACCACTTAGCATCAGGTGGACTGTAAGTTCGTTAGAAACTTCAGTTTTATAAAAAAAACTGTTGGTGCGTCTGTTAGTGATCGTGTAACTTCTGAATGACTAAAGTGACCTTAAGCGTCCTCATACGCCCAGCAGTGAAGGACCACGTCTCAGATCCGTAAGTCATCACTGGCAACACGCACTGGTTCTACAATCAAGTTTTCAGAGATTGAGGTATACCTGACGAGAAGATGTGTCGTAATTTCCCGAGCGCTGCCCAGCCGAGTTGAATCGATCTCTCGATCGAAGTTGGACTTACCTAGTCGGACTTTTTGTCCCAGGTAAACGTACTCGTCAGCAACTTCGAGCATAGTGCTCTCCACAACTACCGGCATAGGTGTGACATGGACATTAAACATGATCTTTGTTATGTCCATGTTCATCTTAAGACCTATCCGTTGGGAGACACCATTGAGGTCATTGAGCATAGTGCTAAGGTCTTCCAGCGATTCTGCCATAGGGACTATATCGTCGGCAAATCGAAGGTGTATGATGTACTCGCCATCGATGTTAAAACCGTATCCTTTCCAGTCCGGTAGCTTGAAAACGTCTTCCAATTCAGCGGTGAAGAGTTTCGGGGTATAACGTTACCCTGTCTTACACCTCTCTGCAGTTGGATAGGTTTTGAACTCTGGTTCTGTACTCGGATAGCCATCGTAGCCCTACTGTACAGACACTTAAGCACTTCGATATACCGACAGTCAACTTGACACCGCTGAAGGGACTGTAGCACCGCCCAAATTTCGACGGAATCAAAGGCTTTCTCATAGTCCACATACGCCAGGCAAAGTGGCTGATTGTACTCTTCGGTCTTCTGTACAATCTGCCGCAGGGTATGTATGTGGTCTATGGTACTGAAGCCTTTTCGGAAACCGGCTTGTTCGGGAGGCAGGAAGTCGTCAAGTCTGCGTGCGAGACGATTCGTAATGACTCTCGAAAACAGCACGTAGACGCGGCTCAGAAGGGCAATCGGTCTGTAGTTCTTCAAGAGAGCGATGTCGCCTTCCTTGAAGAACAAGACCACCGCACTTCTGCTCCACGCCTCCGGAGTAGTACCACAATAGAGGACGGAATTGAAGAGCTTCTAAAGGACTTTAAGTACCGGTGTTCCACCCGCTTTCAGAAGCTCCGCTGTAATTATATCCTCGCCTGGGGCCCTGCCGCTTTTAAGGTGCTGGAGAGCCATTTTAATCTCGCTCAGACTGACGTCCAGGATATCATCGGAATAGTGTCGGATAAGACTTGCTCTTGGATCGTTACTCACACTTGCGTGTGGATCCAAGAGGAATAGTGTCGGATAAGACTTGCTCTTGGATCGTTTCTCACACTTGCGTGTGGATCCAACGATAATGTGTACAGCTGCCCACAGAACCTCTAAATCTCGCTCAAAATCTCAGGTGTCCAGGAAACGATGCTGCCACACTCAGTCTTCAGCTTTTACAGTTGGCTCTCTCTGGTAGACAGATCTCTGGCAAAGACTTTGGAGCCCTGGTTCCGCTCGATCGCTTCTTAAATACGAGCAGTATTAAAGTTGTGGAAGTCCCGCCGCATGCATTTGGAGATCTCTGTTCAGTTGCCTGTATGCTGTCAAATCTGCTGACGATTGCAGCCTCATCTCCCGTCTAACAGCATGAGATTAAGAGTGTGATCGGAGAGTTTTTGTGTTCTTCTGCGGCGGGTCTTACAGAACTTAGCTCCAACCACAAGGACAGTTTCCACGAGCTTGTCATTCATATCGTCTACTGCATTGCAATCTTCTAGGCAGGGAAAGCGGTTTTGTAACTCGAGCTGAAAGGTTTCGGGATTTTGGACTAGAGCACGAGAGGGACGGAGCATTGACACGAGATCTCTCCAACTTAACGCTTAGGTTCAGTGTTCCCATTCTATCTGCCAGTTTTCACCACACACAAGGCGTCTGGTCAAGAATTCTGAACCGCCGGGGCTCGACCAGATCCACTTCCTGTGGGACCGCTTTTGGAAGAAAGAGTTCATCATAAAGAGTCCCACATTCTGCATGAAGTCAGCCAGTTACTGGCCCCTTGGGTTCCGTTGCCCTATCCCAAATTTTCCTAACTTCAGCTCACCGTTCTTTCTTGTGCCCAGTTTTGCGTTGAAGTCTCCCATTGTACTCACGTATAGTGAGTTTTGAAGGAATGCATGGCTCTAGAAATATCCTGATACATTTCCTCCACCTCCTCATCGGGATGTTCCGACGTTGGCGCGTAAACCTGTATGACCTTCAGCGAATAACGTTTGGAGATTCTGAGTATAAGGTACGCAACCCTCGTCGATACACTCCCAATCTTTACAACGTTGTTAACGAGAGACTTGTGGCCGATGAATCCAACACCTCCTTGGGACAGATGGTCGGCCTCCCGGTAATAAAACAAGGTGCCGGATTCGAGAATCACTCCCCCTCTCTTCGGACCTC